ATGGATGAAGGCGGTCTGCTTTCTTCAAGTTTTGCTTCGTCATTATCGTCAGAAAAAAAAAGTTCTTAAGCCTTGTTCCCAAGGTACATAATATGGTTTGAAGTGGATGGACCAAAATGGACCAAAATAATGTGGTTGTGGTGAGGGTTGTGTGATATTTAGCTATAGTGTCTGTTTGCCTGCCACGCGTTGACTGGATACGGCTTCTTGTGCTTCTTTTACTCCTCTTGCTTCACAGTCTATTATTAGACGACGGAGAACGTCGTTGCGCGCGTCCGTTGAAAGTAGGTCACCACGCCCACTTTGCGCGCGGCGCACCCTACTCAGGTTTCGAGATGACATTACAGTACCACCAAGCGTCAGTGGAGCGAGTGATTTGCAATTGTCCGTGTTATCTTCTATTTGGCAGACTGCCGTGGACCAAGCGCAAATCATACGCCCCACTGTCAACTGCGACGTTCTTCAAGAATCGCGGGCTGATCCTCGCATGCGACGGCTGCGGCGTAACCTAGTTTGTTACGGACGCGCGCAACGAAGCGCACCCATATAAATCGGACCTTATGACCTTAATTCCTTTTTATACTCTGGTATCTCAGATGAAGAACGAATTCTCCAGTACTTATGTATATGAACGATGACAACAACGCCCAAACACCTTTTCAAATTGATAAGTCTCATCCAAAGCGCTCACTTGCAAATCGATCAAACGAACAACACGAGCTCCTGGCGCTGCCGTTTTGAACTTTCCAAAATTATTCTCAATGATCATCCAAAAAGCTGTACATAGGATAGAAAAGAAGAGGTCTCATCCAAAGCGCTCACTTACAAATCGGTCAAAAGAACAACACGAGCTCCTGGCGCTGCCGTTTTGAACTTTCCAAAATTATTCTCAATGATCATCCAAAAAGCTGTACATAGGATAGAAAAGAATTAAGTGCACTTCTGGTTCTGAATAAAGCAAAGATTACGTAGTGTCCCAAAAAAGTAGCCCTTATTTCAGGCTTTCAAAATGCGGAGTTCACGCGAAGAGGATCTGAAACCGCTCCCTGGGCTGACAAACTTCACTGCAGAGCAGTTGTTCTTTCTTGCTTATGCTAATGTAGGCCTCTTCTACTTTCACATTGGCACACGTTCGACGAGCAAAGGGAATTTCAGGTATGGTGCGAAGTTGTGAAGACGTCATCAGTCGATTACATCATGGAAACTGACGCTCACCCTTTGGGAATGTTCAGGTGATCTCCTTCACTGTTTGGGCGAAGCAGTGATTTCTGTAGCGCTGCAAGTACTTCTCGATAGCTAATCTGTTTGATTGCCTCTGGAGTAAATAACTTGTCATGCACAGCCTGATTCAACTCAGATCAGATTTACCTACCATGCTAAGATAGTGGGTATCGATTCTGTGTGCGATCAATCGATACGTATTCTGTAGACACATGCTATTGCAGGGCACTGCAAGCAGTGAAAAGAACATTCTCAGGCTCAGGATTCTCGTCATTTTTGATCTACTCACAAATGATTTCTCGATTTTCAGGGTGAATGTGCCTCTTCAAAACTTTCCACCTTTTTCGGAAGCTTTCAACTGTCCTGTTGGAACTCCAATGAATCCGTTCGAAAAGTGCAGAGTATGGTAGCATCCAACTCAGGAATGCCTCAGATATTTCCTAAGTGAGCCCTTCTAAAGTCAGAGCAAATCTAGGAATTTCGATAGGGAGTCATTCCATTCTCTACGAATTGGATCTGTACTCCATCTGCTTGATGACAAAGCTGTGTGTTGCTGAACTTTGCTTAGGTAGCATACCTATGAATCCTTCGAAAACATCGTACTGGTACCCGACAAATAGCTTTCCTTTATTTGAAAACTTGTCGATGAAATTATCATTTATGTTCCTTTGATCGATGTTTTCGAATAATTTTCGAATACTGCCTGTCTCACTTGTTTCGGGTCAACTAGACTATCGTCTCCATAATGAAATCACCTTGAAATTCGTAGGTTACGCATTTGTCCGACACGTCGTACCCCTTCTGCAAATAAAATATTCTTCATCATTCTAAATATGCAATTGTTAAACTCGTTCAGTACATAAAGAAGCATCACTGAGCTCAAAATTTCACAAACGGGTAGTAAGCCTGACAAAATTTGAAAAAAAAAACGCTGTGGGGGTACTATCTCGAGAGATGCTCCAAGATAGTACCCCACGCGTTTTTTACCCCTTTGTATCAGTGATAAACATTGCATTGAATGCGCGCAAAATGAATGGAAGCTGTTAAAAACAGAGGTAAAAAGGTCAAAGAAAACCCCTTTGATATTCCAATTTATATTTGCTTTTATATTTGCTATTCAGTCGTTGTTTTCTCTTTTGAACATTAGCTCGGAATAGTACTAGAAGAGGTCTATAGAGAGCATAAAATTTTCGGGAAGGTATGGAGCAACAAGCTCTTTTAGACATCCCGACAGCGGCGTTTGACACCCTTGAACCTTTTTTTGTCATGAAAACGATGAGGTCTACATCAACAACTCAGACAGGATCAGACCATTCAATGCTGTTATCCCACCCCCCTACTGTAACGCAGGGCATTTGTAATTGTTTGGTATATACGTGAATAGCCTAATCGACTCCACTCCTTCGAGAACGTTTTGCAGTTTATATGCTGATGACAAAAAAAAAATTAACTAAAAACGATTGCAATAAACTCCAGGCTGCCATGACTGTGTTGGTGCTGTTTCTGTATTCAGATTTGAAAATCTCCATATAGAAATTGAAGTAATAAGGTTAGGTAAAAACCACCGTGGCTTTACCTATACAATGTGTTGCCCCCAGTTTACGCGAGTTGAGCACGTTCGAGATCCTTGCGTAGTATGCAGTGAACGCCTTGATTTCGAGAGCTTCATTCAAGACATTGCTAATAGAACATGCACTAGGTCAAATTCTATCCTAAAGTCATTCGAAGCACGAGATCCCTCACTTCTTTTCCATTTGTTCAATCTCTGAGTTAGGCCAGTTACGGAGCATTGTTTGCCTATTTGGCCACCATATAAGCAGTCGCTTATATACACACTCGGAGGGATCCAAAAAATTACTTACCGCTGTTTTGTGCGAAAGGGAATGACCTCCCTTAAATATTAAGAACGGCTCCAATTGCTACGATGGGTTGCTAGAATTTCGAGGTAAATTCATTGATTACGGCTCGATGTATATGCTAATTACAGATTAAATTGACTTGAATCTGGATGACATTTTTCGAATGTCAGCTACTTCAGGGCAGTCCAGAAGACTTCCTTATCGAGTGCGACCTTATAGAACAACCACTCATTCCTTCAGGTAGTACCAAGGTGGAACAAATTAGGAAAAGAACAGATTACCAGGATCGACTTTCTTCCAATCTTGGCATGATATGTATTAACGATAACTCTCTTTAAGCCTTTCAAGATTGAATACAATTTATTAGGCCAACGTTTCGGCTGCTTCGCCTTCTTCAGGGCCTGAAGTAGTGCAAAGCATTGTGTGGCATGCTCGCCCAAAAGCCTCAACAAAACTCTCAAAATCAAAACCTCAAGTAGACCAGCAAACCCCCAACGGTACTGATCGAATGAGGCATGGATTACTCACCTTGGAATCCGCCGTTAAAACAAGAGGACGACCACCCTTGTAATAACTGTTGTTTAAAATAACCAGTAACACCTCCCACTGATCTCATCGTAGATCAAAGACTACACAGGTCAAGGAAGGGTGCGAGTTCACGGGTTATGGCTACACACTCCTCCTTCCTGTTCATAAGGGGTTCTTTACGGTAATCCAAAACGGTTCCAGGGTCTTGCGCGCCGCGATCTCCGTTTCGAGCGCCAATATGGACACGGAAACGTCAAAGGATGTATCTGCGTAGAATGAAATACGATGGGCTCCTAGCATCCTTGATCCAGCCAGCCCACTTAGATGTTCTTTAACTCAAACTCACAAAGGGCGACCCGTTGCTCCTATATACTCTCATCCACAGCTTTGGCAACGTATAGAGTAGACCTTTCCCACCTCCATGCAATCACCCACTTTGCCATATGGGCACATCACACAGTTAGGCGTGCCACATACAGTATCGTAGAGTCGACTACGAACAAGAAGCTTGCGAAGGGTGTTTGGAGTATTTCGACAAACCTATATCGTCTTGAAGACATTAAGAAGAAGGTATGGCCCAGAACATTGCCTCGTTGAACGGACAACCGTGCTCTGGGTCAACACGACGGAGGTATTTCTTTACACCGACAGTCCGAGAAAGAACACAATCTGACAAGACGACTTTTAGTTTGCCTTTCATTTCCGAGGAAGTAAGTAGATCTATCCGATGAATTGTGCGTCGGTGTAATCTTCAAGACGATATACGCATTGTCGAAATACCTCCAAACACCCTTCGGAAGCTTCTTGTTCGTAGTCGACTCTACGATACTGTATGTCAACTTAAGTGAGAGGGGAGCGTAGAAGGGAGTCGTAGAAGAATACGAAAGCTGTGAAGTATACAAAGTTGACAAAAGTCATGAAGCACTTCAAGAGGCAATCAGATTCTATTAAGGTATGTAGAAGCTCGTGCTATAATTAAAGCTTTGCCACTGTAAGGCTTGAAAACGAATGTCCTAGTATACTGTATTCCGAGTGCATAGGAATAAAACCAACTTCCCTGCCTTGCTTTCTCGTTAAGGTTTCTGCAATATCTGAATACAGGTGCATGAACCGCCATCCAATTATAGGTTTAGAGCAAACTATACAGGCTGCGTCAAAAAGACTCTGCCTTTCAGATATTTCCTGACTCGCCCTGATTGCTTGATAGGCTTAGATAGACAGATCTTAAACAGGATGATTTTCTCGAGGTAATCTGTTCTGTTCCTAATTTATTCCACAGTGGTACTACCTTAACAGGGAAAACACCTTCAAAGGGATGAGTGGTTGTTCTCTGAGGTCGCATTCGATAAGGAAGTTTTCTGGACTGCCCTGAAGCAGCTTACATTTGTAAATGTCATCCAGATTCAAGTTAATTTAATCTGTAATTAGCATATACATACATCAAGCTGTAATCAATGAGTTTACTTCGAAATTCTAGCGACCCATCGTAGCAATTGGAGCCGTCCTTGATATTTAAGGGAGGTCATTCCCTTTTGCACAAAGCAGTGGTAAGTAAACTTTTTACACCCGTTCGAGTGTGTATATAAGCGACTGGTTATATGATGGCCAAATAGGCAAACAATGCACCGCAAATAACCTAACTCAGAGATTGAACAAATGGAAAAGAAGTGAGGGATCTCGCGCTTCGAATGACTTCAGGATAGAATTTGACCAAGCACTTGTTCTATCAGCAATGACATGAATGAAGCTCTCAAAATCAAGGAGTTCACCCTACTCTATTTTGATTTACACAATGGACATCCACGGATATTCATATATAAATGTATGCAGATGACATCAAGATATAAGCGATCTACAATCAGGATAACTGTGGAATGATTCGAGATGCTCTGAGGGTATCTCTTCAAAGAATGGCTGACTGGGCAGAACACTGAGACATTCCTCTCAATTTGGACAAATCCATGACCATGCATTTTGGTGACTCCCAGGCAACTACCTACCTCGTAAATGGTGTTCAGCTTGCAGCTTGCCAATCCATCAAAGATCTTGGTGTATTTTTTGATTCAAGATTGAAGTTATCCCTTCACATTGAGCAAGCGGTTAAGAAAGCGTTCGTGAACCTACTCGTCTTGTTTCGAAGTGTGCAGTCTTCTGATGTGACATTGCTAAAACGCCTTTATAAAGCTTGCATTTTGCCGCATGTTGAATATTGCTCACAGGTGTGGAGCCCATATACCTAGAAAAGTATCTCAAAAATTGAAAGGGTTCAGCGTGTCTAACACGTCCCCTGTGGTACAGAACTGCTTGCTATCATGATCGTAATCATTTACCCAGTTATGATGCGCGACTAAGGTTGCTTGGCTTCATTCTTTGCAATGTAGACGTGCAATCTCTGACTTAGTTTTTTGATTTCGAATTCTACGCTGTGTGTTGAAGCTGCGTGCCAGCAAGTACTGGATCTTTAGACCCACTGGTATGAGGTAGGTTTAATCTATAATGTTCAATTTCGGTTGTCAGATACCGTGCGCTAGCCTTTGATAATATCTTTTACCGATGCGCTAGTTGGTTTAGTCTGTTACCACTTGATGTTATTACGGCTGGTAATGGTGCCACGTTCAAAAGAAGATTGCAAAAGGTGAATCTCGACCAAGTTTTCGGAAATTTCCAATGATGGTTTTCAGCTCTTATTTTTCAGTTTCCTACCTCCTGATGGGTCGTGTTGTTTGCGTTGCTGAGCTGTACTGTGGTTCGTCGAGATCAGCCCGCTAATGAATTTAATGTTTCTCATCCTCTAACGTTCATTGCTATGGTCATCTGATTATTCAAGTCGTTTTGCATCCTCAGACTCGCACATACTCGGTTAACCACTAATTTCTTTCTTTTCTTCTGTAAATGTAGTTGCCTTCGCCTTGTGTGCTGCTCAGCCTCAGGTGGTAGTGCCCCGTGCTCACTCTGTTATTTTTGTCTACATAGCCACTATCAACAATGCACTTACCTATTATGACGAGAGACCAGTGGCTTGA